TTACAGACCTTGAAAGAACAATTCTAAACGTCATATGGAAAAACAAAAAACCCAGAATATCTAAAACAATCCTATACAAGAAAAGAACGTCTAGAGGTATCTCCATTCTTGACTTCACGCTGTACTACAGAGCAAGAGTAATAAAAACTGCATGGTACTGGCATACAAATAGACTGGTTGATTAATGAAATTGAATTGAATAGAAGACACAGAAATAACCCCAAATACCTATGGACACTTGATTTTTGACAAAGAGCCAAAACCATACAATAAAAAAAAATAATAACATCTTCAACAAATGGTGTTGGTCTAACTGGATGTCTACATGTAAAAAATGCAAATAGATCCATATTTATCTCTATGCACAAAACTCAAATCTAAGTGGATCAAAAACCTCAACATATAACCAGACACACTAAATCTATTAGAAGAGAAAGCGGGGAAAAGCCTCAAACTCATTGGCACAGGAGACAACTTCCTGAACAGAACACCAACAGCACAGGCTCTAAGATCAACTATTAATAAATGGGACCTCTTGAAATTGAAAAGCTTCTTTAAGGCAAAGTATACTGTCAATGAAACAAAATGATAGTCTACAGATTGGGAAAACATCTTCACCAACCCTACATCACACAGTAGGCTAATATCCAAAATATATAATAACTCAAGAAATAAAACACCAAAAAGCAAAATAACTCAGTTAAAAAATGGGACACAGAACTAAACAGAGACTTCTCTACAGAGTACTCATGAATGGCCAACAAGCACTTAAATAAATGTTCAACTTCCTTAGTAATCAGGGAGATGCAAATCAAAATGACTCTGAGATTCCATCTCACACTGGTCAAAATAGTTAAGATCAAACATTTCAAGTGGCTGTACATGCTGGCGAGGCTGTGGAGAAAGAGGACCATTCCTCCATTGATGGTGGGAGTGCAAACATGTACAACCATTTTGGAAATCAATCTGGCACTTTCTCAGAAAATAGGGAATAGTGTTGCCTCAAAACCCAGCTATACCTCCCCTAGGCATATATCCAAAAGACACTCCATACAAGACATTTACTCACTTATGTTCATAGCAGCTTTATTCACAATAGCCAGAATCTGGAAACAACCTAATAAATGTACCTCAACCAAATAATGGAAAAAGGAACTGTGTCACATTTACATAATGGAATACTATTCAGTTCAGTTCAGTTTCAGAATTCATGAAATTTTCAGGTAAATGGATGAAACTAGAAAAGATCATCCTGGGTGAGGTAACCCAAACCCAGAAAGACACACAAGGTATGTACTCACTTATGGGGATTTTAGCCATATAGTACAGGATAAGCTCATTATGAGGCACAGAACCAAAGAAGATAAGTAACTTGGAGGATCCAAGGGAGGAGGCATTAATCTCACTTGGAACAGGAGATAGAATAGACAGAGGTAGTGGCTGAAGAGAAGGAAAAAGATAGGAGAGGGGGCACAGAGAGTTAAGAGGGTGGAGATCAGATCTGGGGAGAGCAAGGACAAGAGGGCAGAGGCCTGTACAGAAGAGAGAAACTAAGAGTGGGAACATCCCTGTGACAACTGGAGGTCTAAGTCAGGGTAGGTCCCTGGGAGGGTATGAGGGAGACTCAAGTAGAGACTCCTAGTAGTAGATACCATAAAGACTGAAGAGAACACCCTCTGCCTAGACTAGTCTCCAAGCAAAGGGAGAAGGATACCAACCCACCCATAAACGCTTCAACCCCCAATGCCTACAAGATGTGCAGGGATAAAGATAGAGCAGATAGAGCAGAAAATGAGGGAATGCCCAACCAATGCCTGGCTCAACCAAAGACCCTCCTTATCAGAGAGTGCCAACCCCTGACACTATGAACAATATTCTGCTAAACTTGCAGACAGGAGCCTGATGGAGCTGTCTCCTGAGAGGCTCTAACCAGCAGCACCTCAAAACAGATGCTGATATTCACAGCCAAACATTGGGCAATACGTAGGGAGTCTTGTGGAAAAAAAAATGGAGGACAGAGAAAAGTACCTGGAGGTGACAGGAGCTCCACAAGAAGACCAAAGAGCCAACTAACCAGGGTCCAGAGATGCTTGCTGAGACTGAAACATCAACCAAGGACTATGCATGAACTGGACCTAGGCCTCTTACAAAGATGTAGCAGATGGGCAGCTTAGGCTTCAAGCGGGTCCTCTAGTAAGGGAAGTGGGTACTGCATTGGACATGGACTCACTTACCAGCTTTTAGATCACTTCCTTCTGGTGGGAGTACCTTGCCAGGCCACAGCAGAAGAGGACATGCTCAGTCTTGATGTAACTTGATGAGCTGGGCTGGATGGGAAAGGGAGTTCTTCTTTTCTGAGGAAAAGTTGAGGGGCAAGGGAGGAACTGGGAGGGGAGGAGGGATGGCACTACAACAAGGATGTAAAGTGAATAAAAATATATATAATAAAAAATGTTAAAAAAAGACTTAAGTCCATTCTCTTAGAGGATGGACATCAGAAGAAGAAGAAAAGAAGAAACAAGTTAGGAACCTGCCACAGAGGGCCTCTGAAAGGCTCTGCCCTGCAGACTATCAAAGCAGATGCTGAGACTTATGGCCAACTGTTGGGCAGAGTGCATGGAATCTTATGAAAGAAGTGGGATATAGTAAGATCTGGAGAGGACAGGAACTCTACGAGGAGAGCAACAGAACCAGAAAATTTGAACACAGGGGTCTTTCCAGACACTCATACTTCAACCAAGTACCATGCATGGAGATAACCTAGAACCCCTGCACAGATGTAGCCCATGGCAGTTCAGTGTCCAAGTGGGTTCCATAGTAATGGGAAGAGGGACTGCCTCTGACATAAACTGATTGGCCTGCTCTTTGATCACCTCCCCCTGAGGGTGGAGTAGCCTTACCAGACAACAGAAGATAACAATGCAACCACTCCTGATGAGATCTGATAGACTAAGATCAGAAGGAAGGAGAGGGGGACCTCCCCTATCAGTGGACTTGGGGAGGGGCATTCGTAAAGAAGAGGGAGGGAAGGTGGGATTAGGAGGGGAGGAGGGAGGGGTTTATGGGGAGATACAAAGTGAATAAAGTGTAATTAATAAAAGTTGAAAAAAAAGAAAAAGAAAAAATAATTAAGTCCCATCCACATGTTTTATTTTTGAATCTGTAACAAGGCCTGTGTCAAGCAGAAACAGTTGGATGACCCATGGACTATCAATACTCTTCTCAAATGTCTGCTGAACTATTTTTAGGGGTTGGAGGCACCAACCTCTCTAAACTGCTTCAAGCTGAGAAAAGACATTGTGGAACAGCAGCAGTTAGTGTGCCTGAGAAAAGGGTCCATCTGACTGCCCACATTTAACACTTAACAGATGACAAAGGTCCAGAACAAAAGACAGCCATGCAGCTATAGTGTGTATTCTTGGGGTATGATATGCGGTGGGGGTGATATCTGTCACAGAAAAAGGCAGGCTGTTAGCGTTATTATGATCTTAAATGTATAATTTAAAGAATGATCACTTTTTCTTTATCGGCTGAAGGGAAACAGCATGAAAAACATCAAGGAATCTTTGGGAAGCTTTGTCTTGGGTTTTAGCAACTCTGAAGATATTATGGTATTGTTGCTTTTAAAATGCAAAGCTGTTGGTTTGCTGGAAGAGCTTGAGACATTTTTCACTGGTCTGGATAAGTTCAGGATCATTCATCGGGCCTTCTCTATTATAGCCTTGTGAGAAACATTAAAAGTCTAACATCATGATTAACATTAGTTTTGTTCAGTATGGTTAAATACAATAGTACACCTTGCTGGACCATGAACTAGGGTTCTGTACAAATATAAGGTACTTGTTTCTTACATCAGATTCCTACATAGAAAATAAACAACTGAAAGCTTTGTGAATGAAGTTGTTTAAATTCCCCATCTGATTTAAAAAATTAATCAATAAATAAAATCCCACTGAGTCTTTTTTTTTTTAATGGGATTGCCTAGAAATGTTCCAAGGGTATCACTTAAATATCTGGAATAATTTTCCAAAGCTGTGAGTTTCAGGACAGAGTATCTGAAATCCTTCTTTAATGAGGATACATGGGTGGTGAGTATATGAGCCCTGAAATTAGTTTTGCTAGGAGAAAGAAGTGTAAGTTAGGGTGAAGGGCATAGTGAAATGAACTAGCACGCTTTCCCAGTTCAGTGGCTGGCAGAGGTATGACGTGTCCGTATTCACAGCATTCTCAGATGTCAGTTTGGGAAGCGTTGGGTGCAGAATAATTGCTATTTGACTCTGATGTGTATGCAGTTAGGAGGAGGATGCAGACTCTGATATACTCCACTGCACAGCATAATCCAGTCACCTATCATCTGAGACACGATGATTCAGCAAGAACATTGGTTCTGCCAAAGTGAAAAATAAACTGTGTTGGGTGTAGTTATCATATTGGCCTTCAGGTAGACATATATCAAAAAAGGAAATTTTGAGGCCATGTGAGGCATGCACAGTCAAAATAAGTGGGTCAAAATGCTTCCCCAAAGCAAAAAACAGTCAGTGTGAGTCTAATCCTTTTAGTCATTTTCAGGCTTTGGTCCCTGTCACCTAGCCTGGCATCCAATGATGCAGCCACTTGCATCAGCCAAAGCTGTTGTCATTTGAAATCATTCTTGCTTCACACCTGTGGCCAAGATGGACCAATAAAGATTATCCCTGAGCTCTTGTTTTCTGCATCCTTGAATGAATCACAATGCTAGAGAAGATCCACAAACATATTTTCTAGCCAAATGCAGAGCCTCAGATTCAGAGCCTAAGGGAAGAAAAAGTTTCAGAACTTGCAACGACAGGGGAGGGTTTCTAAAAGAAGTTGGGGTGATGGGTGTGACACTTACTCATCAACTGAATTAGAAACACATGTGCTCACAAGCGTACGAGCTAAGTCTATAAACCTGCAAGATTCGTGTGGCTTGCATCCAACAGACTTACAGCTGGCCAGGCTTATGAACCTGTGTTAATAGAATGCTCTTGATTTTTATTCTCTGGCTCCTGCAAATTTCCAGTCTTGTGTGTGCCTATAGCTATGATGAGTGCTACTACAGAATCAAAGAAGATTTTCACCGTGAAGGAGGTGTGGTTATTGGTGCATTTTTCCCAATTCATATATTCTACACAGGCAACAAAGTTCCACATCCATATCTGCCACACTATTTTAAGGATATTTACTTACGGTGCAATTATTCACTTTCCTTTTTTTATAATTTGTATTCCGTATGATGTAGGTGGTGTATAGAATCAAATTTTGCTTCTCCTTATGTTACTCACCAGGGCAAAGCATCTTCCATTCTCAAATATCTCACTTAATCTTGTGCACTTCTTTTCTTCTTTCAAAGAAGATGGAAGAAATTTTTGAGTTTGTTATTTTTTTATTTTTATTTTAGATTTTATTTCCAAGTGTGCTCATTTGAATCTTGTGATCTTACTTTGCCATGCATTTACAACCACAGGTTTTCCATGTTACCTGTGGCAGGTCTTCAGACGGAGAATGATTTTATCCAGTGTTGATCCAGCACTATATGGCATTCTAGAACACTAGATGTGTTCCTGTAAAATTTGTCCACAGGCAAATCCTGCCTGTGTTAGATGCCACTGATTCAGGGTGTCAGATTTTGTAGTTGGGTACACGTCTTTGGTACCAAAACATCTCTGCCAGTCTTTGAGTTTTGTATTAAATTCTTTACCTGCCAATCTTTTATTTTCAGACACATTTTCTATTTTTCTGGTTGGCTCCATTCACTTCTATTAAGTTCTTCCTCTGTGTCATAGTATGTTCATAAGACACGCTGACTGTGATGTGGACACTGAGCACTATTTCTGAAGAAGTCATAAATGAAATCCACTTACGTTTGTGTTAGAAAAATATTGGTAATAGTATAAAAGATTAACACACATGTTTTGTACAACACACTTCCTAAATTTTTCATACAGAATGTCATACATGAAGGTCTATGTATTCCTAGATACAACCTGCTCAGTCTCTGTATATCGCATCTCTATACATTATGTTTATAGAATGGACCATTTGCTATTGGGTAACAAAGTGGTGTGCTCTTCCCTGGCAAAGACTATTTCTCACACTCTCAGGATGCCTTCATTGCCTGTTGTTCTTTCTTAGTGTAGGGTTTGAACATGTGGACTTTTCCAGCCACTGGCCTATCTGTAATTTTTGTCCTTCCTCAGCCTGTGTTTGTTTAGGCAGTCATATTGTCAAGACTTCATGAACGACCTATTTGGCACTTTATAGGTCAGCGTTTGGAAGAGCATACCACCCTTTGTATTAACCACGTTTCATCAATTTGTATTGCACTAGTAGAAATGAAAGGCTTATTATTTGGAGAAAGACAAACGCTTAAGAATAAAACTGCATACATGTAAAAAAGTGTATTTTATATTTTCTTAGGAATTGAAGCAAGCAATTTTTTCCAAGCATTACTGAGACAGATAAAGCCATCCTGGTCTCTTTCTCTGTGTGCCTCCTCTGGGTATTAGCAGGGGAAATGACTCTACCCATAGAGTCAAGTCTATGTCTTGACTCTGAGCTCTTCTCTTCACTATTGTCTGTGGAATCATTACGGATCTTCTTCATTATATGAACTGCAGACTTGAGGGCTTTTCTCTGCAGATGACTGCAGTGCTCCTTGAATATTCCTGAAGCCTTTTCTCAAGATGTATCTTGCCTGCTTTCACTTACTTCAAAAGTTACTCTTTCATGTCTCCCCTCATATATCCACTGGACTATTTTCATTACCATTTTGTACTTTTCGTTGGCAGTCAGGTCTTTCCGCTACCCCCCTTCTCTCAGGGTGACTCACAAAGAGAGAGCAAATCATGAAGGTATATTCCAGAACAGCTTGGCATACAAACACAAGCAGCCCATCAGGTAGATACAAACCCGTTTAACGTAAGGTTGTTTGTCAGAGAGCTCTGAGATGAGTACTATTGGTTGTTATTATTAGCAATGCGGGGATTCTTCTACCCTTCGTCCCAAACTGTCATTTACAAAAGTCGAAGTGTCCATCCTGCTTCTGCATTCACCTTCACTAGCAGTTCAGGCATTTGTGAACTGATTTTCTCTGAATAAAATAACAAAAAATAAACTGTAGAATATTACTCTTGCATTATTGAATTGAGTAAGTATATAATATCTCCTCTGATTTTCAGTGGATAGTACATGATGCAGGAAATCCTTAGAAATACATACAAGAAATTCTCAGATTTCTAATTTTTCCTACTAATGTGTTTATACATTCTGCTACCATTGTCATTCTACTGACAATACTGGTCAAATTCAGTTATTAAATTTGCATTCTGGGTAGTCATAATCTTATATTTTGAATTTTCATCTTTTCCCCCCAATTTCTTAAGTATTTCATATTGATAAAATTCAGAATAATTATGTATAGTCAAATAACATCTCGTCATTGTAATTAAATATTACAATAAAATTTGGACCAATAAATGGGTACTGTTTTTAATTCATTGCACATGTAGGATAGAAATGGCATATAACACATTTCTATACTTGAACACGCCATTTGCTTTTTTGGTTTTGATCACCATTGAGCGTTGACTCCATAAGTCAAACTTTTGCTTTGTTTTTTTTTTTTCTGCATCTTTCTTTTTGTGCGTAGCCGGAACCAAAGTATGCTTTCTATGTTTGGTCTTACTTTCTTTGTCCAGCACCGCTCTCCCTGCTAGGTGGCTGCTTGTCCACCTGTATTTGACCTCTGTGTCATTTTTAACTCAGGCAGCATACCTTGCTTCCTGCTATCCTCCACTGTCCTCTTCCAAACAGCTGCTGAGATTTAATCTTTCCCTGGCTTGGTGTTTTATTTTTCTTTTAAACTCTAATAATGCCGTGTTCAGGCTGCATTTTTTATTATGGTCTATGAACTGTACATATTTTTGATGTGCTACATATTATAAAAGAACAGAAACTGAACATGTGATGATCAAATTCCATGATTAATGTTACTGTTTAATATCAGAAAGCCGATATAACATGAATCAATAACACTGCTCATTAATATTGTTCGGCATTAATAGTCTCAATTCCCCAATAAGAAGGCAAGGACTAACAGAATGAATATGAAAACAGGCTCCCATATTTCTTATGACTCCAAAAAACACTCCTTAATGTCAAAAATAGACATAAACTTGGGGTAAAAGAAGGGGAAAAAGATATTCAAAGCCTACAAACCTAAGGATAAAGTTGGTATAACCATTTCTGTATCTGACAAAATAGACTCCAAACAGAAACTGGTCAGAAAAGATAGGAAACATCACTATATGCTCATCAAAGGAACAGTCCACAAAGAGTGCATTATACTTCATGGTATCTATGCGCCAATGCAACAAACACTAGGGCACCCAAGTTCATAAAGATAATAAAGAAAAAGAAAAACGGAAGGACAAAAACAATACTATAGGTTAAGTCACATACTGACCCTCACACATAGATCACACACACACACACACACACACACACAAACACAAACAAAAACAAACTAAACTGAGAAATGTTGGCGCTAACTGACAATGTAAACCAAGTAGACCTTACAGATATTTAGGAAACATTTCACCCAAATACAATTTATGTAACTCCCTTTATAAGTGATCATATACTCAGGCACCAATCAAGTATTAACAAATACAAGATAATTCAAATAAAATCCTGCATCCAATTTGATCACCACAGATTAAGGCTGAATAGCAGCAGCAATCCAAAATTTGGAAACTAAGGAACTCCCTCCTGCATAAAAATTGGCTCAAAAATTACAAGACTGCCAGAATTGAATAAAATTTAACATATAACATACCCAAACCTTCCACAATATCTTTCAAATAATATAAACTATCTTAATGTAAGTCAAACCAAGTGAGTGAAAGACTTATATGATAAAACTTGAAGATATTGAAGAAAGAAATTGAAGAAGATCAGAAGATATATCTCTCATGCTCATGGACCAGTTGGATAAATACAGCAAAAATATCCATCTTACCAAAAGCAATTTATAGATTCAATGCAAACTCCATCAAAATTCCAACACAATTCTTCACAGATCTTGGAAGCACAATTTTCAGCTTTACATAGAAACACGAAGAACCCAGGAGAACTAAAACAATCCTGAATGACAAAAGAACTGCAGGAGGTAACACACCCCCAATTTCAACTAGTACTTACTATGCAGCCATAAGTAAAACTAAATTAAAAAAAAAAAGGTGCAGTGAGAACTCTATGTGTTACCCACAGACAGGGAACGCTAAATATAAGCGTATTAGAAAGTCTATGACCAGAGTGTGTTCAGATGAGCAGTACATTTGTGACAGCAACATCAACAGACTGCCTCACACTGTGGCCCCTTAAAAGGTACGGAAAGGAAGTCGAAGGAAAAAGTTTAGGACAAGGATAGCATCATTGTCTTTAGTAAGATATAGCATGGAAAAAAAAGGAATAAAATTTAATTCTGCTGTTGATATTTTTTTTTAAAGAAACAAGAAAACAGGATAATATTGTTGCATGCATGTGCGCGCGCACACACACACACAAAATAGAAATGTTGATCAATGAAATTGAATTGAAGAAGCAGACTTAAATCCACACACATATAGATACTTGATTTTTGTTATAGAAAACATACACACGAGCTGGAGAGGTAGCTCAGAGGTTAAGAACACTGGCTGTTCTACCAAAGGTCCTGAGTTCAATTCTCAGCAAACACATGGTGGCTCACAACCATCTATAATGAGATCGGGTGCCCTCTTCTGCCCTGCAGGCACACATGCAGGAAGAACACTGTATAAATAATAAATAAATCTTTTTTTTTAAAAAAAAGAAAACATACACATATGCTGGAGAATGGACAGGATTTTCAAAATGGTTCTGTAAAACTCAATGACATCATACAGAGGTATCCAAATAGACCCACACATATCACCCTGCACAAAACTCAACTCCAAAAGGATCAAAGATATAAACATAAAACCAGATATACTGAACCTCACAGAAGACAAAAAAACACCCTCGAATTATTTGGCACAGTATAAGACTTTTCAAACAAAATACCAGTAGCATAGGAACTAAGACCATCAATTAAAAAATGGTACCTCACAAAAGTGAGAAATTTCTGATCATGAAAGGACACTGTCATTTGGACAAAGCAGCAGCAAACAGAATGGGAAAAGTTTGTTACCAACTACACATCTGATAGATGGCTAATGTCCAAATGATATAAAGAACTTAAAAACTCTGACAGAAAGAAAACAAATAACTCAATTAAAATGGGGGGCAGGGCTCACAGAGATCAGAGAGCCTGTATGAGTCTGACCTAGGCCCTCTGCATATATGTTATGGTTGTGTAGCTTAGTGTCTTTCTGGGATTCCTAACAGGGGGAGCAAGGACTGTCTCTGGCTCTTTTTCTGCTTTTGGGACACTTGTCCTCCTACTGTGTTGCCTCATCCAGCCTTGATGTAAGGGTATGTGCTGGACTTATTGTAACAGTTTATACCAAGTTTTGTTGATGTCCCTCAAAGGCCCTATCCTTTTTGAGGGGAAGAGGTGGGTGGAGCTAGTGGAGAAGGGAGATATGGAGGGGAAAAGAGAAGGAGAGGAAACTGCAGTTGGTGTGTAATAGGTGAAAGAAGAATCGATTTTTAAAAAGGGGGAAAAAAGAATTTTACTGAAGCCAAACAAACTCTAACATTCTTTTTAAAAAACTTGGGGTAAAGATCTAAACCAAACTTTCAAAAGCCTGAAATGACTGAAAAACACTAAAGGAAATATTCAATATCCTTAGCCATCAAGTCAGTACAGGCCAAAACTACTTTGAGATGTAACCTTATACCTGTCACAATGGTTAAGATAATAAAACAAGGAACAGCTCATTCTGGTGAAGATGCTGAGTAAAGGGAACACTCTTCCATTACTGGTGGAAATGCAAACTCAAATAGCCACTACGGAAAGCACTGTGCTATTTTCTCACAAAGATGGGAATCAGTCTACCTTAAGATTCAGATATACCATTCCTGGGCATATGCAAAAAGGTATATGCACACTTGCTCAACCATGATTATTGCTGCTCTCTCTGCAAACCAGCCAGAGACAGGAAACAGCCTAGATATGCTGCAACAAAAGAATGGATAAAATATGGCATGTTTGCATAACACTGTATCACTCAGTTGTTTAAAAACTGACATCATGAAATTTTCAGGTAAATGGATGGAACTAGAAAAAAAAAAAACCTTCCCAAGTGAGATATCCCAAACATATAAATATGTTATGTATTCACTTATTACCTGCTAACTCAATCATAGCTCAGCTATAAGTCATAGAAACACAGAGGTTAGATATAGAGTAAGAGACTACTAGGAACAGACAGACCTTGTTAGAAATTGAAAGTAGAATAAATAATTATGGATGGATAGGGTGGTGGAACAGGAAGATTAAGTGGAAAGAAAGAAGAATGGGGTGAGGGGGAGAATAAGGGGAGAGACAGATAAATATAAGGCCATTTGAGGAGTATTATGAAAATCTAGGACACTAGACATTTCCTAAAATATATAGATATAAAGATGATCTAATTGATATAGTTAAATAAGAGGGGATGCAGAGCCACAAATGACTAGGTCTTGTCATCAAATGAATCTCCCATGCCCCGAATTGGGTTGGTGGCCAAAGAGGTCCCTTATGATCACCAAACAACCCAGGCTGCCGCCAAGACTATAGTTTACTCTCCACAAACTGACAAAAAGGCCCCATTGCTGAAGACAACAGCTATGGAACTCATGAACATGGTTCCAGGTCTACATAGAACCCCTAAACATTAATGCCTTTCATATAGGAAGGTACCCTGTGTGCTACCAAAAGAGGAACAACACCAAGCCAGCACAAAGCCTTTGATATACAGTCATACCCTGCATGAAAGATCAGCTAGTGCACTGGTGGCGCAAAGGTTGTGGGAGTGACCCACCAATGTCTGATCTGAATTAAGGCTTGCACCATGAAACGGTCGCCATGAAATAGAATGCATAGCCGGCACTGCTGGCATGACCAAGCATCTCTGTCTAGATAGCACAGGAAGCTAGGTAAAAACAAATACAACTGTTCAAATACAGAAAGGCAGCAATAAAATGATCCCTAGCAGCCTCCTGATGTAGTCATGGGCCAGTGCTTTGCTCAACCATCATCAGAGGAACTGCCTGCAGCAGTTGAGAACAGATGCAGAGAGTCACGGACATTCTACAGAGAATGAGAGGCCTCAGGACACTCACCACAAATGGGATTTGTCCATCAAACCCCTCCCCTCAAGCCTCAGGGAAGCCAGCAGAAGAGGAGGCAGACTCTACAACCCAGTGGGGCTGGAGGACAGCAGGAGTACAATGGTCTCCAAGCCAACATTCTCAAAGCTCATATGAACTCACGGAGACGGGAGGCTGCCTGCAGCAGTCCTCCACGGGTCTGCATCAGGACTCCGTTGATTACGTTTTACGGCTTCAAGTTTAGTGTGCTCCTTGGATTCCTGAGTGTAAAAATGAATGGTGGCTTTGCCTTCTGTTTGTTAGTTTTACCCAATTCCAATGTGTTAGTTTTATTTTATCTTATTGTATTTTATTATTATCATTTAGAAGCATGATTGTTTTTTAATGAGACAGAAATGGAATGGATCCAGATGGAAGTGGAAATGAGCAGGAACTGGGAGGGTTAAAGAGGGCATTCTGAAGTGAAGAAATATGTTTTTTTTTTTTTTAAAAAAAAAAACTTCAATAAAGTGGAAAAATTAAAAATTTACTATAACTCATGAAAATAAAAATATAAAACAGGTTTCTTATGCTTTAAAAATACTATTGTTATTTGTCCCTTTTTCTTCTCCCTCTGTATTTTCTCCCTCTCCCTTTTCAGTTCAAGTCCCCTTTCTTATTTTTCCCATTTCCCCTTTAATAGCTCCTGGTTTCTACTACAGTTTCTTCTCCCTTCCCAACATGCTCAGTTTCTGTCTCCTGGCTCTAACAGTTACTTCAAGTTAACCTACTTAAATCTAAAGATGTGGAGGTAGGATCCACAAAGAGGAGAGAGCACAGGGCAATTGTCTTACTGAATCTGAGTTATATCACTCAGAATCCCTACACATAAAACTGAAAGAAAAATCACACACACACACAAAAAATAGCACAGAAAAAGTGTAAGAACCAGAGAAACAGAATGGTTGTTTGGAGAATAGTGTTGTCTAGACAGGAAAGGATGCTGTACCTGCCAAATTTTGCCGGTATTGTGACCTAAATAAGACAGGCAATCAATAGCTGCTGGTTAATAGGTGGAAAATCAGTTGTCTTCAGAGACCAGTGTCTTGATTGGTTATCCAATCCCAAGTAGGATTTTTAGAATCTTACTTGTTTTATAATGAGAGAGGGTCAGAAAGGGCTGGATTGGGCTGGCTGGATGGGAAAGATCTGGATAGAGTCTGGGTTGGGAAACCCTAATGTGAATTTATTTTATTTAAAAATTTTTTTCAATTAAAATTTTTGTACACAAATATGTCCAAGAGTAAAAAATAAAATATTTTTATCTTGGGAAACTGGGTGGCTCAATCTACAGTTATTGCTTTTTATAACTGTAGAAGCAGAAAGACAAAGATAAATGCACCAGGAGAAGTGATGTTTTGTGAGGCAGTGTTCAGATTCATGGACAGAAGTTTTAGTGTACCCAACATAGAAGGTAATATAAAGTGAGCTCCCCTGGGACTGTCAAAAATGGGGGTCATACCTTCAGCATCTCATCTCAATCTAATGAGATATCGATAGGGGCTGGAGAGGTGGCTCAGCAGTTAAAAGCAGTGGCTGCTCTTCCAGAAGTTCTGAGTTCAATTCCCAGCAATCACAGGCGTCTCATGACCATCTATAAAGGGATCTAACGCCATCTACTGGCGTGCTGTATATGCAGCAGAACACTTACATAATATCTTTAAAAAATAGGAGATACAAGGACACATATTTCAGGCATGTAAAGGTAATATTAAGCATGGATTTAAAAGAAATAGTAATATTTGAATTACAAAAGTCATCACACTAAATCTGCAGCTGTGTGTAGTCTGTCTTCGTTCTGCGTGCTTCTATGCCATCCATACAGGTATAAGAACTACCAGTTTCTTCTGGCTCTGGTGTTTGCCATTGAGGAGATGAACAGGAATCCCCATCTTTTACCCAACATATCTCTGGGATTTGATTTCTACAATATTCCATACAATGACACACACATTTTAGTGAATGTCCTCATTTGGCTCACAGGGCTGAGCAATCCTTTTTGTAATTACAACCGTAGAAAAAGGAGCAAGACAGCTGCTGTGCTTACAGGAACATCACCCGCAACTTCTGCCTACATTGGCACACTGCTGCAACTCTACAAATTCCCACAGGTAAGGCAAAAGGTGTGAGAAAAGGAATCTGAATCTGCTGTTTGGACATTTCAGATACTGCAGTGATAAAAGAGGAACACTTAAATTGCTCAAGTATCAAAGAGGAAGGAGCTAGGCAATTGATGATGGATCCATATTTTTCTGGTTTGTAGTAGACAGGAACAGAAGTCTGGACCAATGAAGATGGCTGTCAAACTGGAAGAACTGTCATTAATTTACTGGAAATATCTGACATAGAGATTTGACTTTAAAATCAAGATGAAAACATCTTCAGCCCAACCATCTCCATATGCTGTTTCATGGCTAAAACCATATTTGATTCAAGTGTCTTTCCTTTTGTGTTCTGTTGTTTTCCCATCAGCTTACATTTGGGCCTTTTGATTCTACATTGAGTGAACAAGGTAACTTTAACTTTCTCTATCAGATGGCTCCCAAAGACACATCTCTTTCACTTGCCATTGTCTCTTTGATGCTTCATTTCAACTGGAACTGGGTTGGTCTGTTCCTTCCAGATGACCACAGAGGGTCTCAAATACTAACAGATTTAAGACAAAAGATGGAGAGTAATAAAATGTGCATAGCTCTTGTGGAAATAATCCCAAGGACCTGGACTTCATTTTTCAATAAATTCTGGAAAAATATAGAGAAGGTTTAAGAATCATTGGCCAATGTTATCATCATTTTTGGTGACATTGATTCTTTACACGGTTTAATGCGAAATCTAGGGCAACATGGAAAGTCTGGGTCATGAACTCTCAGTGGGATGTTACCAACCATGCTGATTATTTCCTATTAAATGCATTCCATGGGAGTATTATCTTTTCACACCACCATGAGCAGATTGTTGAATTTACTGATTTTATTAGAACAGTTAGTCCTTACAAATACCCAGAAGACAATCATCTTCCCAAGTTGTGGTTTTTGTTCTTCAAATGTTCATTTTCTCAACTTGACTGCAAACTTTCAGAAAACTTCGAACCCAATGCCTCCTTGGAATTCTTGCCTGGACACATCTTTGACATGGCCATGCATGAAGAGCGTTACAATACATACAGTGCTGTACAAATGGTGGCCCACAGTCTCCACGAGATGAATCTTCAACAAGTTCAAAGGCAACCATATGCAAGTTGTGAAGAAATGCATTTTTTTTCTCCTGGTAGGTAATAAATAGCCTTTGATTTGAATTCTAACATTCTCAATGTTAGAATTTGAAAATTATAACTCTGAGAATTTGAGAAGGTACCAAGAATACCAGGTATTCTACATTTCCACATATTTTGTTAAAAATCCCTGGAGAGTCTGTGGTCACTAGCTTAGTCAGAGTTCAATGTAGATTCACTTATGGGTATTGCTGGAGTATCGAGCTCAGCTAACAAAAAGGAAATGTTTCCAGTCAATATTAAGTTTGTGTCACAAATAACCTCATAATCTTCTTGTGATAATCGTTTCCATAAGAAAATATTAGAGTGCTTCCTTCAGCAGCACATATACTAAAATATGATTGATGCAGAGAAGATTAGCATGGCCCCTGCGCAAGGATGACATGAAAATTCGTGAAGCACTCCATATTTTTTAGTCCCTGGAAAAAAGAGAAAATATTAGAATTTCCCCATATACTGCTCAAAGAATTAATAAAAGTAGATTTTAATATAAAATTTTATTTATTTATTCAGTTTAACCTCTTGGGCATTTTTAACAGTCATTTTAGAGTGAATGCTTCTTTTTTATTATTAATTTATTTACTTTACATCCTGATTGTAGCTTCCCTCCTTTCTCTCCTCCCAGTCCCACCTTCTCACTTTCCCAGTCCCTACTCCCCCTCTCTTTCTCTTCAGAGAAGAAGAGGCCTCCTATGGGGTGAGCTTTCTCACCTGGCATGGGTCTCAAGCTGGCCCAGCCATTGGCTGGCCATTCTTTCAATTTCTGCTCCATCTTTATCCCTGCACATCTTGTAGGTCTAAAGTTTTGTGGCTGGGCTGGTGTCTCCACCCCTCTTTTGGAAGTTGCCTGGTTTCAGGAGTTAGCTGTTTCATGTTGCATATCCTTTATTTCTGGCAGTCTTAGCTAAGGTAACCCTCAGAGCTTTCATTGTCCTAGGTTTCTAGCTTGTCCCAGAGATGACCCCCACCCAACCAATTCCAATCCTCTCTCTCAGTTCTCTCTCCCTCTGGAGGAGGATGTAGATCTTTAAGTGAATTAATAACATGGCTCATTACAACATGGTGGTCGTACCTAAATGATCCCTTATTTACCTGTTAGACATCAGTAAGTCCACTTTACACACTGAATGTCTGCACGTACTCTGAAAGTGAACAAATGCAGCTTGCTACTCCAAGAGCTGATTGCTTGAAGCAACAGTAACTAAGTTCTTACCCGTCCTTGGTCCTAATTCTTCTCTTGTTGCATCTCGTTCACTAAGACTCCATTGCTCCACCATACGAAAACCTACATTCACGTTTTATTTTACACCAATATTAGAAACAACAAGAGACTTCCTATAACAGCATTCTTTTCCATCTTTTCAGCCCACTTTAACACAGGCCCATGCATCCTTTTCAGCTTCATCATTTCCTGCAAAAGACACATGTGGGAAACAATATTTTCTTAATAATTGAACTTACCGCAATAACAAAACTGTTTCCTATTGCAATGACATTTGATTTCTCACTCAAGGCCCAAAAATGTATATAGCTACAAGAAGGGAATAGAAAAACATTCCTAACAATAAAGGATATTTTTGCACCCCTGATTATCTTAAATGGAAGTGTGTTGTTTTAAACAAGTTTCCTAATCTTCAGTCATGTATAGATTAGTTTCTTGTGAATTTGACACTAATTAGGGACATTTAGGGAGAACCTCAATCTCTTAAATATTCCACAGGCCAGTCTATAATGTAATTCACTTAATTTAGTTTTCACATTATAAAACCATGTAATATTTTTGTTTTATTACTGTGATTAAATTCAAAATTCAAAATTGCCTTTTTGAAGAAAGAGTTTATTTTGGCTATGGTTCTGTTGGTATGACAGTTAATTGCAGTCATGCCAGCAAGTGACAGCTACAGAGAAAGAAGCAGAAACCTGAGAGATAACATCTCTATTAACACACAGGAAGTAGAGAAAGAACAATGGAATTGGGTAGGGCTTAGAATTTCAAAATCTTTAACCTCTGAAATAATTTCTCCAACAAGTCTATACAAGTCTAAAATTCCAATAATTCCCCAAGTAGCCCCACCAATGAGGAAATAAATATTTAAACTATGAGGAACATTTTTTTTTTAAATTTAAACCACCACATAGAATCTGTATTAGAATTCCTTCATTGTCTCTAAGGAAATCACAGGTTCATTTTGATTCCTTGCTTAGAAATTCTAGTCCTTCATTAGTCACTGTTTTCCTCTGATATGTCTAGAGAAAGAGAACCATTTGGCATGCATAGTTGTATGTCACCGGCTTGTATGGCTGCTGCAAATATAACTAAATTAACTTAAGAAAGCATTTCTTTTGGCTGACAGTTTGAGGATGCAGTCCATTAACTTTGCAAATGCATTGGTTGTAGGAGTGTGGGGTGGCTGTTAATACCACATTCAGACTCAGGAATTGGGTAACAATGAATGCAACTGCTTACTGTTCCCTCCTTTTCACTCATTTTGAGACAACAGCCAATGAAATTGTAGCATTCACTTTTACAATGACCCATTTCATCTCTGGCATAATTTTATCTCTAGTAAAATCCCTCACAGAAATGCCCAAAGATTTCTTTCTGTGATGATTCTAAGTTCTGTCAATTTGACAAGAAAGGTTCATAATCATGAAAGTAAGAGCTGCTCCATCATTTAGCCAGTAAGTACAGAAACAGGGTCAGTCTTGGGCTTTTCTAGGTCATAGCCCCAGTGACATCACTTCCTTACACTTGTCCTTAATTTATTAAGGTTCCAGATTGTCCAACACTTTGATAATCTTCAGACAAACCATTATACACAAGCACGTGTTCAGCATACAGCCTTTCAGAACCATTTTATTTTTTGCATTGGTAGAAATAACATTTTCAAATAAACTGTATAATACTTTAAAACTGTATTTACTAGATTTTCTAGAAAACACTGAGCATTAGATAATTTGATTTCATTCTTCTGAGGTTCCTCAGTCTGTGTGCAGTCAGATCTGCCAGCCTGAATTCAGGAAAGTCACCCAGGAAGAGAAACCTTCCTGCTGCTTCGATTGCATTCCTTGCCCACACGTTGAGATTTCCAATAAGACAGGTAAGTGCAAGTTTAGCACAGAACATTTCTATCTCTCCCCATGATTCTGAAAATAAAATTCCAGGAGGAAATAAGACACAAAACTTTTTCACATGAATTTAGTAAGAGATGTAATTGTACATGTAAACAAATCATTAAAAAGTAGAAAATAAATGGAAAATAAGCACTTTCAAAATAAGTGAAAAGAAAAGAGTCAGGAAGATTAGCTTTATAGTATATCCTGAGAACAGGTTTTTTTTTTTAATGTCAAGATAGTTTAAGGAAACAAGGAAACTTTA